CGTTCAACAAAATTCAGATACTATTCATGTTCACAGGAAGAGAAATAGTACTCTTATTTATCATAAACATGTAGAAAATCAAAATAAAAACCCATATAATACGGACCTAATCTGTAATCGACCATGACCAGTTATTCTTGAACTGGACGTCCCGTATAACCTTTTTTTCTTGGCCCTTTTATTGGCTCTCTCTCTTTTAACCTTTTGAAAAATGGCTTGAATCTTAGCATCCACAGCATTTTTCAGGGCATTCAATTTCGAAACATCTGCAAAATAACCCAGCTTGTTGGGATCCTTAACATCAGGGAAATTCAACTTTGCATATTCCCCATGAAGCTTATAAGCTGCTCTGTCATAAGCATAAGTAGCAGCCTCTGCTGTATCATAAGTTCCAAGCCAAACTCTCATCCTGTTTTGTGGCAGTCTTATCTCAGCTACCCATAAGCATAGTTTGCATTTTGTCCTTCTGGTTCATCTTATATATGCATGTGATTTTGGTCACAAGGGTCTGGTCTTTTGCAATTCTTGTTCTAAAATGCTCTTGAATTATGTCTCACAAGGGGCAAAATTTATGTACGGATGCTGTTATTGATAATTTTCATGTGTGGTATGATATGATGATTTTTTTAATTTTAGGATACCTGCTCAACAAATTTCGAGCTTGTTGATAATTTATCAAACTAAGTACTTTATGCGACAACGTCTTTGTTGATAATTGGTAAATAAAGTTGTAGTATTCAATATTTCTTTCAAGTCACATTGTCTTGGACCTTGATGTTCTTATGATCTTATCAGTCTGCACATTTGCTGGATCTTTTTTTTTTTGTATTAACTGAATTTGAGCTTCTGTGGGGGTTTGAATTAGTTTTCTCATTTGAATCTAGACAGACTAATTTGAGGGATCTTTTTTTTTTTTTTTTTGGCTTCTATTAGGCTTTGATTGTAAAATTGAGCTGAAATTTTGGCTTATTTTGGGGATCTCCTTTTCATAAAACCTAAAAGTAGCTCTGTTCTTCTCGTTTGAATTTTACGAAATCCACTCGCTCTTCTTTTGGGTTTATTTACAATTTTTGTACCGCTCAATGCTTTCCTTCTACCCTTTTGCTTCTTCCTTACAACCCAGTTCGCATTTATTCATTTTCTTTTCTGCATTTTTTTTTTTCTTATTAATTAGTCTTGTCTCAATTTGTTGGGGTGAGTTGTTCATGTTGAATATAGAAACCTTAAGTTGGTGTTTTTCCTGGCGTTTTGGAAAACTGTAATCTTTTTTTTCTAGTTTATTCTCTTCTTTGTCAAACTGTAAACCCTCTGCCTCTGGTATTATATATAGATGGATTTGTCAATAATGTGTAGTGAAGCCTGAATAGAAGAGATTGTAAGCATTTTCTGGCGGTGTTTAAGTTGTTAAAAATTAATTCTAAACGTTGAATTGTATCAAACAGCTATTAGCTGTGGCTGTCCTGGGTTTTGGGGTATGGATGAGCACTCACCATGATGGCTGCAGGAAGTCCTTAACTCTACCTGTAATAGGTCTTGGTGCAGCAATTTTTGGGGTGTAAGCTTACTGAGTTAAACTTTTCCTTTTCGGTATGAGTTTTTGCTTTTTAAATGTGATTTCTTGTTGCTCGGAAGATTGAATTATTTCATTTTCAGATCAATTTTAGGCTTTCTGGTACGTGGAAGAACAACTCAATCTTGTTGTGGATTGTATCCTACCAATAAGACAAGTTTGTCATTTTGCACTTCTTGTTATGCCGGTGTATGATTATGCATTTTATGAGTTTGCCTTGACTGAATCTTAGTATCTAATCTTGCTCTGCCTTATTTTGTTGGCGATATTGGTCTTCACAGTCTTGGCGTAAGTACTTTTGCTGAGCTCTTTTATTGGTGGCCCTTTGAATCATAGATTGTCCAGGGAAATTTTCATTTCTTGTTCTTCTAAATGAATTGGCAATGTAGAACCTTTGTGATTGGCATGACTGCTATCTCTTGCTTTTATTGACATCGAAATGAATATATTTACTTCTGCTGCTCAATTAGATTTTGTCACTTCATATTAATCATGTTATTGGTGAAAGTAATCAGGCTTTACTTGCATTGTTTAGTTGACGTTCATTCCACTTTTTTCAGTATAGTTATTACTCAAAGCAAGTGTCAATTGGCAAAGCAAGTCAAAACTCAAAAAATGGTTTCTTTCTCATTCACTTTCTATTGGACCAATATCACCATTGAAGTAGTTCAGACACATTAATGCTCAATTGTGGGGTGATTGAAATTTTTGATTGAAGACACATCATTAAATGTGAATGAGTTCCTAGATTATTTGCCTAACTCACTTAGATCTTTGTTAATCAGATTCGATTTTTTTGAATTCTGTTTAGCACATTCAAACTAGTAACTATGAATGAATGTGATAATGGAAGCAATGATATATGTCAGAAAATAGGCAAAAGAATACAAAAGACATCATTATGTGCAGTTGGCAAAAGAATACAAAAGACATCTCTTGAAGAGAATCTTAAAGACATCATTCATGAAGTAGAATAGTTCTTTTGCATGAACTGAGTTGGCTCCTGTTTGTTTGCAGTTTTAATTAGTTTTGATATTATTTGAATTCAGTTCATGGATCCATCCTTGTCCCTATCTGATGGTGAAAGTGATGATGAGAGCTCATCAAGTACAGTAAGGAAGACATATGCTATCCTTCGTATGTTGGAATTTGCTTCCCAGGCTTCACAATGGCATGAAAGACATAGGGTGAAAGAACCAAGTATTGATTACAGCATAGCATGAGAAATCTACCTAAGGCGTCTATATTATGGAAATGATAGGGTTTGTAGGGAGCAACTCCGTCTCAATAAACATTGTTTTTCTGTTTTATGTACCAAGTTAAAGGAGTTGGGGATGAAAGATTCAAACCATGTCACAGTTGAAGAAGTAGTTGCAATGTTTCTTTATGTCCTCTCTTTTAATCTGACAAACCGCAAAGTCAGTTTTGATTTCATTAGATCAGGGGATACTGTTAGTCAATACTTCAATATGGTCCTACATGCTGTACTAAAACTGGGGAGGCAATATGTGGTGCAACCTACAACAGAAATGGAAGGATTCGAGGATGAAAAATGGGACTGGTTTGAGGTAAATATTATATCTATTTGTTGATTATTTTGGAAATTATAGTCTAAAAATTTTAATAATTAATTAATACTTTTATTATGGTAGAACTGTCTTGGAGCACTAGATGGGACCCATGTTGAACTCGTTGTTCCATTGAGAGATCAAGGAAGGTATAGAAATCGGAAAGGCAACATCACAACAAATGTCTTGGCGGTATGTTCTCGTGACCTAAGGTTCACTTATGCTTTACCGGGATGGGAGGGATCTGCAACTGATAGTAGAGTGTTGCGAGATTCTTTGACTAGAAAAGACCCCTTTATAGTTCCTAAAGGTATGTGGTAATTAGCCAATTATGTTTGCTCAATATATATATTTTTTTGTTTCTTTGTGCATTAGTTTTTTAAGGTGTATAAAGTACTAACAAGAATGTTTCCATTTGATTTTGTAGGCAAATATTTTTTGGTGGATGTGGGTTATACTAATGGTCCCGGTTTTCTTGCGCCTTATAGAGGAACTAGATATCATCTCAATGAATGGTCAGCCCAAGGTAATAATCCACAAACTCCTAAGGAGTTAAATAACCTCCGTCATGCAACTGCTAGAAATGTGATTGAGAGAGCTTTTGGTGTGTTGAAAAAGCGATGGAAAATTTTGAGAGAAGCGTCTTTTTATGATGTCAAAACAACTGTTAAGATTATCAATGCTTGTGTTATCCTTCACAATCTTATTCGAGTAGAAGAACCTAATGATCCATTACTGGAAGAAGTTGATCATGAGATTCTTAATCGAGTTAATCCAGATGGTGATGATCAGAATGAGGAAGAACAGAATCAGCCAAACATGCAAGGTGGTGCGAATGTTGAAGACTCTGATCGCATTACACTTGTGCAATCTACACATGAGTGGACTAGATTTAGGGATGCATTAGCTCAAGCTATGTTTATTGATTATCAAAACAGGCTTAGATGAAATGGTCTTGTTAATTTATGTTCAATAAAACTATTAGTTTTAAGTTTTATTGTTTGTATAAGACTTTAACGTTGTGTAGTATTTTAGTTTTAGTGGTAGGAACATTGGTTGGAGTAATATTGTCACCAAATTCTATGTTTGATAAGAATATATAAAATGTTTAGGTGGTTGTTACATTATATATAAAATTGGGTGAATACCGCCCTTTCATTTTATAATCAGTTTAATTTCTTTGGTTTCAAAACAATCACTTGAACTAAATTAATTACTACATACATAACCAATTTTTGTAATTTTTATATTTATGTTAATGTAACAATGTTGGAACTACCTAAATTGATCATTATAATGAATATATAAATAATTGATAAATTTAAAAAATAAAATTTAAAGAGTTTCCCCTTTGTCACCTTGAATATGATAACAAAATATATTATTCTAGAAATGATACTATTTAACATGAAAAAAATTAAAAGTTGAAATAATTTCAAAATAAATTAATTTTTTCTTTTTTTTTTAATTTTTGTAAAAAATAAGCAAAAGCCAAAACCAACCCAATTACTAGACTATACGAACAGAGAATTTGGAATCCCAATTGAATTTGTAACCAATTCCATGATTTTGCCGAACGGATAAATTGGCATTGAATTAGAATATTTTAAATGCCAATTGAATCCCAAAATATTCTAATGCCAATTGAATCCCAAAAACATGTAGCCGAACACACCCTGAAGGATATTGGAAAAATCTGTTTATAAGGTTCTGATTTCTTTTTTTTTTTTTTAATGCGTCTTCATAGAAGGACCTGATACATGTTTAACTTCATTTTTTAATTTTTCTCTTTTCAGGTTAAATCATGTTTTCTGGTTGTTGAACCACGTTCCCATGTTTCGTGTGGTTTTGCATTTATAACAATGGACACCCCAGAGGATGCTAACCGCTGCATTAAACATCTGAATCAGTCTGTTCTTGAAGGGCGATACATAACTCTGGAGAAAGTTAGTTAACTACATTGGATTTATGGCGAGGAATGGTAAATCTAAATGTTTTATCAGTCTTCTTGACTTGGAGGTTTTCTGGTTATATTCAGAAGATATTCCGTCAGCTATGTTGGCAGCAATCAAAGTTGATGAGTTCATCCATCGCAACAATTTAGTCAAACAGCTTGATGATTGGACAGCTTAACAATGGACAATGCAAATGCAATTACTTTCATCTTAACAATGCTACTTTATTCCCACAACAACCATACAACACCAGCAAATACTTTCAACTCTCCTCAACTCTCAACTAAACAACAGGGATTTCCAACAATCTAATCAGGCTTTTATGGTATCCAATACCTGGCATTGATGTTATAAACTGCAGTTTTCTTTTTCGCCACTTAGGAAGCCCTAAGAAGTGTAGATTGTCACAGATGACATCACGACATTTTACTCTAAAGTTTGTTTATGACTTGTCTTTTTCTCTTGGTAGACTATTGTAGGAGCATTTTGAGTATGGTGGTGCACATATTCTGTCTGTTTTTATGCTTAATTTTGGTGGATTGAGCTTGTTTGCTCTTTTTTCAGTCTAGGAGGAAACGCGCAAGGACTCCAACACCTGGTCACTATCTTGGGCTGAAAAGCAGTAGGGGCGAAGGTGAGGAATTGTCTTTCTGTGTGATTGTGTCTCCGTGTCTTGTCTGCTTATTTCTTAATGTTTGCTGAAATCTCTGACATGGAATTGTAAAAGTAAATATGCATTAGATTTGTTGAAATCTCTGACATCCTAATTTGTTTTGATGAAGGTTATCGCGGTGATCATGGAAGATACCGTGGAGGTTCAGGCTATGACGACTATGGGTACCGAAGGTCCCCTAGGCGCTCCCCTTATCGGGGAGGTGGGCGTGATTACTCTCCTAGGCGGTCAGCATATGGTGGAAGGTCAAGGAGGGATCGGTCCAGGTCCTATTCTCCTTATCGAGGCTCTTGGTGAAAAGCTACAAAATAGCGCCAGATCTATAGAGAGTAAAAGTGATATGAAGAAACAATAAGCGGGAACGAGTTTCGGTTTTTCTCATCATGCGACATCAATCTTCTGGTGACCTTTCGAATTGAACGGTTTGAAGGCCAGTTGCCTTCATCGAACAACACTAATTCAGGTGCTATTTTGTCACCCTAAGCTAAACTTAGCTTCAATTGTTTGTGGTCAGACTGGCGGATTTGATTATATTTTTATAGTCGAGTAGGATTCAATCATTTGTGATTGTTTTATTCAGAGTTCAAATCTAATTTTCATTTTTCTTTTACTTTGAATTCCATAGGCGATTACTTTAGAAAAGGATAAGCCTGAGATTTATGTGGAATACATATTAAACCTTGATGGTGCTCCCTTTGGACTTCCCTCGCGAACTAGGTTTATTGCAAGATTCTGTTTGGCTTTGTCTCGGTGCCGTTGGGTGTTATTGAATTATTTCGTAGTTCGGTGTTATTTCTGTTGTTCCGTGATGAGTTCACTTGTCAAGCTGGAAACAAAAGGCCATTCATATTGCTGGAACGAACTTATAATATTGAGCACCAAATATCGGAAATTGACTGCCAACTCGCAAGTTGCTTTCGCTGTGAGTTCTTCAGCTTTTTTTTTTTTTTTACTTTATGGGACTTTGTTATTGGTTTTGAGGATGTGGAAAGGAATTTGGTTCAGCCGTTCAGATATATGTCTCTGTTTTGAGGGATTTCTTTTTACCTAGAGAAGTTAGTGACAATAATATGCAGCATGTGAAATGTAATTTCTTACACTGAGTCTTAGCTCTGCCCTTCATCTCCTTGCAGTATATGAGAATTATGGTTTTAATTATATCAAATGATGTGATTTTTGCAGCATTCTTATTATATCACTTAGCATTTGATAACTCTTCCACCAGAGTATTTTGTGCGTCTACACTTTTATGTCATCGCATTTTCTTTTTCTTTTATTCTTAAGCTGACCGGTACTGATGATTAGATGTTTCATATTCTTACATGCAATATTCATTGGCATTCTAACTGCTGACTTTTTTCTCATTATTACTCCTTGATGTAATTCTGTTTTTTGACTTGCGTTTCGATTAAAAACTGTGAATATTGATGAGATAGATCTTGGGGATTTTTTTATTCTTATGTTGCTCTACTTAACATTTTCTTTTAAGGTAGATTGGGAAGTTTGCTCGATGTGTGCTCTGTTTTGTATCTTAAGGAAAAGAGGAAATTTTCTCATGTTATGCCCTGACAAATGATCTGCCCTACCACATTTTGTAATGGCATAGCTTATTATCAGTTTAACCGCTTATTCAATAAACAGATTATTACTTTGCTCAGGAGTTATTGTGTCAATCCAGCATGCCCTGGCCTTGAGGCAAAGCATTTAGTGCACCAGTAAAATTGGCGTAGAGACCACGTCTGTCTTCTACTTATTTTCAAACCTTTATGAGTCAAACTAGACTTAACCCTGTGGCTGTGTTGTAGGAGGAAATCTTTTGTGAAGAGGATGCTACAGTTCGGTTTCAAATCACATGTATATTGTAGAAATCACTGTCACGCTTTTACATTTTGGTTCCAATTCACATATATCATGTAGAAATTACTGTTGTTTTGTGAAATTACTGGTTGTTGTTTTTGGCATTTCATTGCCTCTTAGAATCACACTATTGACAAAGCAGCTCACTGAAATTGTGCTATTCCATCCAAGCATCAACATTGAGTTTAAGTGTTGAAATAGAACGAATAGTAACTGAATGACGAGGCTTAAAATGATTTAAGTCTTTCGCAGCCTAGTTGCAATCTGGTTGAAGCTGATAGTTTTAGTTTCCATATTTCCTCTTTTGTTAAATTGGGAATGGGATATCGTAAGTCCCCGAATTAGGCATCCATATCATTGCCTGGTTAGGTAGGGAACACTTAGTTGGCATTGCGCTATCATTTGCATACATGCTTTGAAGCTAATATTTGGTTAAAATAAAGCATACAGTTGCGAAAATATAGTACTTAAAAATGTGATCAAAGTGAACAGCTGAAACTACTGAACTTCGTTGCTCTCGATCAAGCTTTCTTCATTAGTTTTTTTTAGATTAACTTATATTAGATCTTGTTCATTGTACAATATCCTAGAACCAAGAAAATACCAAAGTTATTTTTTTGAGTAGTTTTTAAATACTATCTTTTCTTCGAGTTTGCTGAAAGGGTATTTGTCTCCTTCGAAGAAAGCCAAAATGTTCAAAATCCCCAAGTCTGTAAATGTGATGATTGAACCAGGTCTGAAGATTTCTTACTAGAGTTAGGAACATCCATTTAGAATGATGAAAACACGCTTCTGATGCTCCAAGCGAGAGCTACAACTATCATGAAGGTCTCTTCGCCAAATTCTGATGATAGAGTAGTTGAAAGTGCACGTGAATTTCAGTGAGCAGAACTGTCCGGAAAATCCATAGAACTCAAGCAACAATCATTCAACTTTCGGAGACCATAACTTGAGATTCGGAGCTCGGGTTTGGAAGTTCTTTATATCATTTCGAAGCCAAAAGAACGAGCTAGAACTTCTTCTTAGAAGGGAATGCAAAATTCTGAATGTAGACGGGCAATAAACAGCCATTTAAATGGTCGCTCAGACTGAAATGAAGGAGAATTACAGCAAGATTAAGATATCTTGAATTGCAGCAGAGAAAAACTCCAAGTTGGGCATCCGTTGCTGATTACTCCCAAAACACAGTCTAGAAGGGAGCACATTTGGGCATCTTCATCTGATTTGGGCACTTTCGGGCATTACTAATAATAACTACTTTTCTGATTTGCCATTTTATTGCTATAAATCATTCGCTTATTGTAATTGCTATGTCTTGGTTGGATAGCTTCGTATGGTCTTCATCTGATTATGTTGTGGCGGAAAGGGTATAAACACAACAAACTAGCAGAAACGATTTCCCAGAAAAACTCCTTTCCTACTACCAATAAAATAGGACAACCAACTAAACAAGCAAATAATTCAAGAACTGATAAAGTAAAGTAGACATACGAATTTACGTAGAAAACCCAAATTGGGAAAAATCACGAGACTATAACAACAGTCAAATCTCTACTATCACAATAATGGGAAACAATCTTCACCAACCGCTGGATACACAGGACTTCATCCAAATGTGGATTACAATAATACTCTTCCACACACACCTATCACAAAGTAGGACTGGAAGGATCTCACCAAAAGAGTTAAACCGAAAACTAAACCCTAACTTTTTTTCTTTTTCTCTCGGCTGAAAACGCGTGCACAAAGCCTTGCTTTTATATAGCAAACCCAAAAGAAAACTAAAACCCAATTGGAGTGGGTTTTATTTCTATCCGTCACACCCAAACCAAAATCCAAGTTGACTTGGTTTTATTTTCCTTTTCATTGTTGCTGGCTCAATTTGAGAGGAACCTGGGCCCAACAATCTCCCCCTTCACCTCTATTGGGGGTAAAACCAAACTCGCTTCCTGCCTACAAAACAGGAGCTTGTCTCTACTCACAGTCTTCATCAACATATCAGCACTGTTGTCATCCGTAAGGATCTTCTCAAGAAACAACGCCTTGGACTCCAATACATCCCGAATCCAATGATATCTCACATCAATATGTTTCGACCGTGAATGAAATGTGGAATTTTTTGTCAAGTGAATAGCGCTCTGGCTATCACAGTAAACCACATACCTCTCTTGCTTCATGCCCAGCTCTTGTAGAAACTTCTGCAACCAAAGTACTTACAAGATTCAGTAGCTGCGATAAACTCTACCTCTGTAGTAGACAAAGCAACACACTTCTACAACCTATTATGCCATGAAACTGCTCCCCCTCCATAAGTCATCAAGTATCCAGAAATAGACTTCTGACCATCAAGGTCACCTGCCATGTCAGCATCTGTATATCCATCTGACATGGTCTTCCCATTGCCAAAGCAAAGACTCAATCTGGAAGTATTCCTAAGATACTTGAGAATCCATTTCACAGCATTCCAATGCTCCTTACCAGGATTGGAGAGAAACTGACCAACAACACCAACTTCATGAGCTATGTCTGGCCTTGTGCAAACTATCGCATATATCAGACTGCCAACTGCCAAAGCATAAGGAACCTTTTTATCTCTTCCTTATCTTTTTCACTTTTAGGACACTGTGTTTTGCTTAGCTTAAAATACCTCGCAAGTGGAGTCGAGACTTCCTTAGCACCACTCATGTTAAACCTATCAAGAACCTTCTCGATATACTTCTCTTGAGATACCCAAAACTTCCCGTTCTGTCTATCACGAGAAGTCTTCATCCCAAGAATTTGTCTAGCCGGACCGAAATCCTTCATCGCAAAGGACTTATTCAACTCCTTTTTCAACCTGGCAATCTTTGCAGTATCATGACCAACAATCAACATGTCATCGACATAAAGCAAAAGAATTATAAAATCACCATCAGACAATTTCTTCAAAAATACACAATGATCAGCTGTAGTCCTTTGGTATCCTTACCCTATCATAAAGGCATCAAACTTCTTGTACCACTACCTCGGAGCTTGCTTCAACCCATACAAGCTTTTGTTGAGACGACATACAAGCTTTTCTTTCTCCTTCTCTTGAAACCCATCTGGTTGTTCTATGTAAACCTCTGCTTCCAAATCACCATGTAAGAAGGCTGTCTTCACATCAAGTTGTTCAATGTCAAGATTCAAACTGGCCGCTGTCCCAAGCACCACTCAGATCGAAGACATCTTTACAACAGGAGAGAATATCTCATCAAAGTCTACGCCCTTTCTCTGATTGAATCCCTTCACAACTAATCTAGCTTTGTACCTCGGTTGAGAGTTGTTCTCACTTGTCTTCAGTCTGAACACTCATTTATTCTTGAGTGCTCTCTTGCCCTTAGGCAGCTTCACCAGGTCATACGTGTTATTCTCATACAAGGATTTGATCTCATCTTGCATGGCTGCTAACCAGTGATCTTTCTGCTCATGACTAAGAACCTCTTCATACGACTTTGGTTCTCCCCCGTCAGTAAGCAACAAATACTCCTGAGTACTGTACCTGGTGGAAGGTCTCTTGTCTCTGGTGGACCTCCTAGGCTAAACAGGAGGTGATGAAACCGCTGGTGTCTTTTTTTCAGTCGCAGGATCATCATCAAACTCGCCATCCTACTTTGTCTCAGCTCCCCCTTCAGGAGAATCATCTGATTGTGGAGGAACTGGATCTAGATCAACAGGAATCTCAGGTGAAGATTCTGGCATCTCGCCCTTTCCCATATCATCAATGGTCTGGTCTTCAAAGAAGATCACATCTCTACTTCGGAAAACTTTCTTCTCTACAGGTTCCCAAAGTCTGTACTCAAAATCATCATTTCCATACCCCAAGAATACACACTGCTTGGATTTGTCATCAAGCTTTGACCTTTTGTCTTTGGGAATATGAACAAAGGCACGACAACCAAAAACTTGCAAATATCCAAATGAGACATCTTTCCCTATCCAAACTCGCTGTGGTAGATCACCATCCAACGGAACTAAGGGAGATAGGTTGATCAAATCAACTATTTTCTGCATGGCTTCACCCCAAAATGATTTAGGCAGCTTTGCATTCGAGAGCATACACCTAACCTTTTCGGTAATAGTTCTGTTCATTCTTTCTGCCACACCATTATGTTGCGGAGTCTTTGGAACACTCTTCTAAAGTTTAATGCCATGGTCTCGGCAGTACTTCTCAAACGGACCCCTGTACTCACCACTATTATCTACTCGAATACACTTTAACTTCTTGCCAGTCTCTCTTTCAACTCTAATACCTTGTCTTTAGATTTCAAAGAAAAACACCAAACCTTTCGAGCATAGTCATCAATGAAAGTAACAAAGTACAATGCTCCACCTAACGACCTATCTTTCATGTAACATACATCTGTATGAACTAACTCTAGAGGACTGGACTTTCTAGATTGAGGAGAATTTTGAAAGGAAACTCTATGTTTTTTTACCATAAATACAGTCAACACAAGGTTCTAGAGCAGTACCTTTCACCTCAGGGAGAAATTGCTTCTTACCAAGAATCTGGAGTCCCTTAACACTAATGTGTCTTCTGTGCCAGATATCAATGGAGGCATTGTGAGTTGCATTCACCTCTCCATTATTCAACTTTGCATTCAACACATACAAAGAGTTCAACTTCTTTCCTCTAGCAATAACAAGATTCCTTCTGGTAATTGTCCAACGGCCACCACCTTCAGTGCTATGATAACCCTTATCATCAAGTTTTCCAACGGAAATAAGGTTCAGATGCATATCCGGAACATGTCTGGCATTCTTCAAGACAAGAGTACAACCTGTATTCGTTACCAATGATATCTCTCCCATGCCGACAACATTGCATGAGGCTTGATTGCCCATTCTTACACGACCAAAATCTCCAGTTGTGTAAGAGGTCATGAAGTGTCTGTGAGGCGTCACATGATAAGATGCACCTGAATCACCGAACCATTCACTGTCGTGACTCGCACATTAATTGTATCACCATCACAATACACAATACATCATTGGTAGTTACTAGGCTTACCTTCATCCCTTAGAACAGGATCAATCAAATCTTTGCAATACAACAAGTCTTCCACATATGATAATTAGATGAAGTCAATTTAATTATCGTACTAGCACCCGATGACTCTTCCATTTTATTGGTGTAACACCTCAACTACCGAACCGTAGCTCTCATACTACTGTTGTGGCAGAAAGGGTATAAACACAACAAACCAGCGGAAACGATTCCCAAGAAAAACTCCTCTCTTACTACCAATAAAGTAGGACAACCAACCAAACAAGTAAATAATTCAAGAATTGATAAAATAAAGTAGACACACAAATTTACGTGAAAAACCCATATTGAGAAAAATCACGGGACTGTAACAACGGTCAAATCTCCGCTATCACAATAATGGGAAACAGTATTCACCAACCGGTGGATACACAGGACTTCACCCAAAAGCGGATTACAATAATACTCTTCCACACACACCTATCACAAAGTAGGACTAGAAGAATATTACCAAAAAAGAGTTAAACCGAAAACTAAACCCTAACTTTTTTTCTTTTTCTCTCAGCTGAAAACACATGCACAAATTGTGCATAAAGTCTTGCTTTTATAGAGCAAAGCCAAAAAAAAATAAATCCAATTGGAGTGGGTTTTGTTTCTATCCGTCATACCCAAACCAAAATCCAAGTTGACTTAGTTTTATTTTCCTTTTCATTGTTGCTGGCCCAATTTGAGGGGAACCCAGGCCCAATAGAGTACTCCTTGGGCTCTAACAGTAAGCAGGAAAAGCAACATAGAAGATAGGTAGAATTTGTTCTGGAAGATTCCATTTGCTCCAGCTCAATCAGTAGGTGCATGAACATTAGATGGAAGCTCGATCATGTGGATGCGATACTTTGGCCCAAAAGAAAACCAATATTAATGCCTTTGTTTAGTTTTGTTGTAACTCCAAGTTACCATGGTTCTTACCTTAATTTCTTGCAACAAGTTGTATAAAATAAACATCATGGATCACTATGAGATTAGCAAGTCTTATCTGTTTAGTCCACAATTGAGCATTGATCGATAGTGGGAGTGTGTTTTAGTACATATGGTCTTTCGTAGGAATATATTATAGACAAAGTAAAATTGCACATGACTCTTTACAGTTCATCTCCTGCAATCTTTTTCATATTTGAATTCTCCACATGCTTTCCTTGTATCAAGGAGAGGCGGCTGTTTACATGAGCATCAACGAAAAATTCTAGAAGGGTTACGAATATTTGCATACTGAGTAGTCATAATTTTTAAGTGCTAAAATTCATTATTATCACAATATTATAGAATATAGTCAGTTGAATAGTAATTTTTACAACACCAAAACTAAACTTCTTCAGAAACCAAAATAAAAATAACAAATTTTTTATTAAATACGTGGCATAGTAATTTCCAAAAGTCTCACATTCAATAGCTTCCATGGACCTTTGACCCGGACCTGCATACTCACATCATTTGTGGTACTTCCTCCGTCTTATAATTATTGTCCAGTTTGTCAAAGGAATTTTGTCCCAAAATTATTGTCCGATTTAATTTTTTATGAGATAAGTTACATATTTACCCTTTAAGTTAAAAAAAAAAACAATTTCACCAAAACCTTCTTCCCCATCATTTTATCTACACGCCGTAGAAGCAAACAACACACAGTAACAACAAACTTTCTCTACACACCGTATAAGCAAACACACAGTAGCAGCAAACGACAGTTCCCGACGGTTCCAAGCAATCATAAAGATGTAATGGTTGTTTTCGGAAAGAAATTTGGAGAAGAAACTCCGACAAATTCCGACGACTCCAACCGGCGGCAATGGATTCAAGGACATTCCCGGTGTAATGGAAAAATCATATGGATCAGAGGAGCATCCGATTCAAACACAAACTAAGAATTTTCTCCAAATTCAAATCAATTTATCTATAAATTTAGTTCGGTTGGCACAAACGACCGTTGAAGAACTCTGTCTGATAAAAAACTTTCCGATTAAATAGAAAGATTGGCTTCATAAATACTAAATTGAAACTTAGATTAAGAAGATTCCCGAACTCAAAGTTCTTCACATTGGTTCGATGATGGCTAGATGCTGACGGAAGAACAAATGAAAGCTGTACTTGTGTTTTGAAATGGGTTTTGGATTTGGGAATTAAAGTGAAAAACAGTAAAGTTCTTTTCTCGTAATGTTTGGCCGGTTAAACCATTTTAAGTATGCAGGGGTATGTGGAAGTTTATGCCTAAATTTAGTTAAGTTTGATTAAAAATAAAATTGTATACTTTAACAAAACTGGACAATAATTATGGGACAGAAAAGAGTAGTATTTATTACTCCCTCCGTCCCATAATTATTGTCCAGTTTTACTAAAATGAAAGGTTTTATTTTTGGTCAAACTTAACTATATTTTACCTTAAACAACCGGATATACCCCTACATAAGTAATTGTTTAACCACTAAGATTTTATGGATAATGTTTTTTACTAAGGACAAATGTGTAGCTTGATCCATAACAAGTCAAATTGGACAATAATTTTGGGACAAAATTTTTTGGGCAAAATGGACAATAATTATGGGATGGGAGGAGTATTTAATAGTGTCCATCGCAATTTAAGCCCAAAATTATTATTATTATTATTATTATTATTATTATTATTATTATTATTATTATTATTTTTTTTAAAAAAAACCCGTTTCATTTTTAATTTTCAAGGACTAAAAAACAATACACGAGAAAGTAAACGACAAGTCCTTTGATATTCAGAAATCAGAAACTTCGGCATCATTCCATTCTCACCTTCTATATCCTATCTCATCTCTTGAGCTCTGAAGAATATAATACGAATAAGAAGAACGAAGACCTCAAAACAACAATGCCAACGCTGAATTTATTCACCAATGTTCCGGTTGATTCGGTTGTCACTTCCGATTTCCTCAAAGATGCTTCCAAAGCAGTTGCCAAGATCATTGGCAAACCGGAGTCTGTCAGTTCCTTTCTTACATTTACACTCCCATAAAATTTGGATTTGGGAAGATTTTTAGTTTTTTTTAAGTGTTTGATTATATGTCCCTGAGAAAGACAGGCTCGATCGTGCTCTTAAGTTTTTGCATACTTGTATCTGCTCATGCATAATTTATTGTGGGGTACTTTATAATTTGCAGGATTGTTAGCATTTCTTTGATTTCTTAGGGAAACTATAATACTGAAGTTGCGAGCATTTCTTGTTTGTTGGAGAGGAATGTACATAAATAACTAATTGGCAAGGTTTTGGAGTTCTATTTAGAAAAAGGAAATTTTTTATATTGATGAATTGGACCGCATAACCTCTTTGGAAACTGCTATGAAGATGAGTTGATGGTGATGCCTATGCCTGTGAAGCGATTTTGTAGTAGCTTCTTGTCTATTCTCGATCATGTTCTAGAAATATAGTGCTCTGCTCTTGTCTGCCTTCCATTGTAATAACAATTTCAGGCAACTTGTATCAGAGTTTCCAAAGTTTGAGATAAAAACTTTGTGGACTATGGAGTAAGTTGCATGTAATCCGAATCTTTCCGGGTATATAAAGTGCTGCATAGTCACTTAGTCAGTAAATGGAGTCCTTTTAGAAATGGCAACCCAGATTCCATTTCTTTTCTTGCATAGGGTAATCCTTAATGTGTCAATTGATGCAAAGTGTGTCGGAAGTGTGTCAATCCTTAATGCAAACTTAGTGTATGGAATACCCCTGTTGATAGGGAATCCAGATAAAACGTGACTAGATGCAGGATTCACTTTTTCTCGCTCGCACTCTTCTTAATTGAAGTGTTTGGCATTTAAGTTTTTCATGAAGCGGCGTAAATGATAAACTGATAGCTGATGTATGACATAGTTTTCAGTTCATGGTGCCATTTTTTTTATCCTTTTTGATGGAGGTGGTGCAGGATAGCTTCTAGGTTCGACAACAATGACTGAGCTGAGCATTGTTATAATTTGATTGATTGTGATGCTAATTATATACCGAAGCATTCATTCTCTATGTGCAGATCAGTTGGAAAAACCAATTGTCACTTTTCTCCCATGATGCATTCTTATATGAACAAAAAGTAGAGTAGAGTGTTGAGGTGCCTAAAACTGAAATATTTTCTGTTTTAAATGGACAACCGTTAAAAATGTTTTGGTTAGATGTCTTCTCTATCAATCTTTGTGTTTAATTTGAAGCTTTACTGTGTAATGGCTTATAAACTTTTACGACCAATGTGTTATTGTCCAGTATGTGATGATTGTGCTGAATGGAGCTGTGCCTGTTACATTTGCTGGTACTGAGGAGCCAGCTGCTTATGGGGAACTGATCTCAATTGGGGGTCTTGGACCAAGTGTCAATGGAAAACTGAGTTCTGCAATCGCAGAAATTCTTCAAACGAAGTTTTCAATTGATAGTTCTCGGGTTTATATCAAGTTTTATGATGTTGAGGTAAATCAGTTGCCTTTAATTTGTCTCCTACTCTGTTTAAGTAAACATAACCAAGAATTACATGTTTTTGCATCCGACCTTGCGAGCCTGAAAACCTTAATCTACTGGTTACTGATGTCGAGTCAATCTTCTCTCACCCAAAAAACTGAGACAGAGAAAAGCATGTTTCCTGTTCACTTCTGTTTCACGCTTGTTGCTTGGTTTTCTTTTTCCCCTCTCTCTGACATGGTTACAGCTTCAAATGAAAAGAGACATACACAAAGCAGATTTCAGCTATTGTGTAACTGTACTTTGATATTTGTCTACTTTCTTGAATTGGTTCTTGTTTAATGTGTTGATTTCTGTATTTCACAAAGGATAAAGGATGGTACAGCTAGAACTACAGATGAAATCCCACGGCTCTCTTTTTGTGTCATCTTCTGATGATCTCGTTTTTTTTCCCCATTGAATGATACACCCTTTGTTCGGCAAACCGGAAATCTTTCATTGGCCCGAACAAAAAAAAAAAAAACCCACATTACATTCTGCTTGAAGGTAATCAATACTTAAAACTGGGTTTCCCTACTTTTTTTTTTTTAATGAACAGAAAGGTAAGAATGGCATTCAGGTTCCAACTAGTTAAAAAAAACTCAAAGGGTATACCTAGGACAGGGTTTCCCTACTTTACCTGTGTGTCAAATATTGTTTTCCGTTCATCTAAAACTAAGAGATGAACCTTTCCACTGGCTGTTTTGGTTAAATGGTGGTTGTTTAGCTTAGCTCATTAGCTTGAATTTCCAAAGCCATAAATGTGATGTATTTATTTGCTTTGATCTTTCAATTGTGCTAGCGGTCGTACTTTGGGTTCAACGGCTCAACTTTTTGACATTCATGGTCTAGCAAAAATGCTGAGCAGAAAGATGTTGAGATCTGAGATAAGGTGTTCAAGTTCGCCCGAAATCTTGATATGCTCTTTGTGAATTTTGTTCATCAGTTGTAGCATTTGTACCTTTTTTTAGGATTCTTTTTACTGAAATCAGTGGCATTTGTATCACTGCTAATCAATATAACCCTAAACAATCTTTAGATTGCTAGGTTTCTCGTAGTATGCGGTTGTGAATTTTTCCCTTTTAACGTTCCAACACTCCCGAATTCTATGATGTTCACTTTTTTTTTTTTTTGCTTTTTTTTTTTTTCTCGCACTATCAAGTGAGCTGTAGTTACTAATCCTGGAGCAGAGACTAATTATATTTACAAGGGACGTATAGCAAGTTTCTTGTATTTTTTTGTGGGTTATCAAATGGATTGTGAGTAGAACGAGATTTACCTATTAATTACATTAGTTTTCACGCTAGATTTGTTCTCATCGTTCTACGCGCGGTCAATTTGAGATATGTCAATATGAATTCACTTCAAATGGTCATATTGTCATATGGTTTAACGAAATTCTAATAATAATTATTATGTCACGCCAGAAGCATGATTCTTCAGCACCGTCATGTGTTTCTTGGACAGCGGATCGCTTGCATTGTTACCGTTGGAAGCCCAATCAAAATATGATCACCATTTGTTTGTTGGACGTCGGATCTACACTATTGTCACCATCGGGAACCGAAAAAAATCAGGGTTAGTTTTTCTTCCTTTCGAGAGATTGACTATCATTGCATAACAATTGGATTTCGAATATAAGAAAATAATTGGATTTCAAAGTGATGGGGAAATGGAAGTGACAGAAGATTAAATTGGCATTTGGAGTGGGAGAAGATTTGTGGGGAAGAAAAGGATGGAGAGCGACCGAAAAAATTTGCAGTAAAAATGGGCACAAAAAAATGACATTTTAATTGGTAACATCGGGTAGTAAATATCGTTGTTTAACCCGCCACATTAATTAGGTTATTAATGACATATTTGGTCGGCAAAAAAAGAAAAATAACTTTATTAATTGATCATTGTAGTTTTGTTTTAAATTGCTGATGTCATGTTAACATATTAACCAATCAAAGGACTCAATTTAAAATTGATGATGTCACGTGAACTAATGACCCAATCAGAATGTTCAATTTAATTTCTGACCAATCATGTTCAACATTTTAAACTCATCAAGATACATTTACTTATGTACAGATGAAATGCCTTTCAATTTGTTAACAATCTTAAAGTTATTGGGAAAATCACTTTGAAAGATGCCCAAAAGAATAAAAATAAATAAATGAAAATGGGTCATTCAAAAAAAAAGGATCCCATTTAGTTTCACAAGCGTCTGTCATTGACAGTCAACTAAGGTTTGAACTGAGCCGATTAATATACGAGGCACTCGGTGCTCCGTATTTTAGATGCACCTAGTTTGTATAACACGTGGAACCAACTTTCAACTATTTATAAAAATGCTTGGCTTCTAGATTTGTTGTTCATGCGCTTCATTAAAAATATAAATAGCCATTTCAATTTTTCTTAAATCCAAAATTCCCAATTTCACCTCCAAAACTCCGGCGAAATATTGTGAATCTTCTCTGATGCATTTTTTTTTAATTTCGACTTTCCCGCCATCATTGGCCGATGGGATTTCGGCTTCTTCAAGATTCCACGAGAAGAGCAGTGAAGCTTTGTTTGAAATCTCAGGTTCTTGAGCAAACCTCGTCGGCAAAACTTTGTCGGTGCTATTTTTTCTTTAATCATAATGACCAACATGTAATTCTTTTTTTATTTGGTTATCTTACTTTTTATCTTTAGATTTAATGAATCGTATTTATTGTCATCACTTATTCTTAGATCTGATGCATCTTCTATGTATGTTTCCATATTTCTCTCTCTCTCTCTCTATATATATATATATATTAGGATTTTGAGTATACTTTTTCCCATGTTTGCTTAAATTATTAATCAAGCAGCAGAATTCTAGAAATTTGGGAAAACTAATTTGTATATATATGATATTCATGAGTGATTAATTCTTGTTTTCTTTATGAATTTGTAAGATGTTCATTCTACATGTACATTATTCATCACGCATTAGTTTGATGTTCATTTGTTGTTTACCAAAAAAACTCAACAAGCATGGTCTCTCTTGCATTATTTTAAAATGATTGTTGATAGAAGTAGTCATCTAGTATGTGTGTGATGTTCATCCAGTGAACTGAGAATTTAAGTATGTGAGCAATAAACAATTGCTGATGTTCATCCACTAATTGATGCAGCAGCGCTGGTGTTTATTGCTTGCAACCAATTGTTCATTTTAAAATTACTATGTATTAGTGATGTTCATCCAATAAACTGAGAAATTCATTTATGTATTTGTGATGTTCATTTGATACCTCCAAAAATTCATTGTATAAGCTGTATTTGTTATGTACATCTAGTAACATGAAAATATTCATCCTCCGTGTAGATGTGATCTCATTGCTGGATTGATGTTAATTGCTTGCAACCAAATGTTCATTTTAAAGTTGTTGGTGTTCAGCCAGATAGCAAAAGTATGAGAATCAAGCATGTGTCATACAAGTCTCATAGCTGGTAAAACCCAAAATTCTAAAAGAGAGGGGAAACTTCCCTGGAAACTTCTCAATTATGTGATGCCAAAGAAAAAGTAGCAACATAGTATGATTTGATGTTTTTACTATTATAATAATGTAATTAACTGCTACTTGGCTTTATATGGTATGAAAGTTATTGGGCAAAGGACTAATTAGAAAATGTCCTTGCTCCTTTTGTCCCTTCTTTCTCTCCCTTGCTCATAACTCTTCCCTATTTTTGTTCTTTCTCCTCCTCCCTCAAAAAATTCTTCTAGATCCCATTAAACCTGAAAAATTCTGTGCAACAATCGGTGCTTTCTTTAAGTCTCGAATACCTGACACCGTGTTATGGGGCGGCCTTGGCCCCCCGTATCTGTGTTGAGTCTCGCAAGAAAGACGCCCTGCTGTGTTTGCGCCTACTTGGGTAGGGGCTCGGCCTAGCGTTAAGGGGATGTTGCATGCCTTAGCGGCTTTGGCCCTGCCGAAGAATTAGGCTTTGAAGCCGTAGAGCTATGGGGCTCATGCGGGGGAATGCCGAGAGAGTTATGGGACTCTGCTTAGATGTGGGGCTGGAGTGCGGCTGAGGGTTCAACTGGTCAGCAGCTAGTGTCATTCCCCTGATAAGCTCAAGGCAGAGCAAAACCAGTACGGTGCGATGAGAAGGCTGAGTCTTGAGGCAAAGGAAGAGAACCTCAGGACTACCACACGGGCGTAGTAGAGAAACGCCGGACTTAGCCCGTGTCAAATGGTATCAGAGCGGGTACCCGGGCACCATTGCTGCGTATCACCTGTTGGAGGAGGACCCCGATGTGTAGGCCTTTCGGGAGGGGACGGATGCTTGGCGCAAAGAGCGTCAGGGGTGCGCAGTAGATAACTGACGGGTCATCTTCGGACGGTCCATCTCTTTCCACCCCAGCACGAGGGCGTGCTGGAAAACGAGTGGGAGAGAATGTTACGGGGCAGTCTTGCGCCCCCGTATCCGTGTTGAGTCTCGCAAGAAAGACGCCCTGTTGTGTTTGCACCTGCTTGGGTAAGGGCTTAGCCTGCCGTCAAGGGAATGTTGCATGCCTTAGTGGCTTTGGCCCTGCGGAAGAGTTAGGGTTTGAACCCGTAGAGCTATGGGGCTCATGCGAGGAAATGCTGAGAGAGTTATGGGACTCTGCTTAGATGTGGGGCTGGAGTGCGACTGAGGGTTCAACTGGTCGGGAGCTAGTGCCGTTCCCCTGATGAGCTCAAGGCAGAGTGAAACCAGTATGGTGCGATGAGAAGGCTCAGTCTTGAGGCGAAGGAAGAGAACCTTAGGACTGCCGCACGGGCGTAATAGAGAAACGCCGGACTTAGCCCGTATCACACCAGCATGAAAACTCGATCTAAATCCTTGGATTCCCTCAAAGAATAGCTTGCCCATATCTCGGAACAACTCAATGTTCTATAAACACTTTCAAATCTTTATACCACCATTCCTAACCATTCGTCAAATCTAGCCGCAATCACCACAAAAATTGCTTCACAACAATCCATCCTCACTGATATTCTCCATAAGGTTACACCTTCACCACAAACCTTTCCACCCTTTGATAGCAATCTCGTAGACGAAGCAAATTTCGTTAATGCAACCATCAACAAGAAAGTACGAAGATAATTTTGTCTATCCCGTGAAACTCAAAAGAGTGCGGAAAATTCACAGTAAGACGATCGTTTATCTAATTGATTCTATCTCTTAACTCAAACTAAGCAAAGAACACATTATCCATGAAAGATTCGAATTAAACAACAACCCACGCTAAGAATAGCAAGGACACCATTCAATATACTCGATCAGTCATCTATCAAGAGACTCAAGAAAGGTAGGAGCAAACAATACCCAACTATGAAGGAATACTATTGATTAGTAATCTTCATAACCAACCAAAGATATGCAACACATACACTATCTCAAAATGCTTATGCCAAAGCACAACTCATCCAACAAAAGTAGGTCAGACCCCACAATGGATCTCATGAACACACTCATCAATATTCGAACACCAAGCCAAAGGAAAGGCTCATCAATCGAACTACTAGAAGTAGTATGAAAATAAGAAGTTTTGTTTTAAAACAATTCTATCAAGAAGCATACTTGAAAAAGAATGGTTTCTGCAAGATCAAAAAGATCCAAGACAAGATGAAAACCCTCTTGGTTTAATCATACTTGACACGAAAAATGGACACTCCATTTAACAAAAATTCCTCACAGGAAAAACTCTCAAAAGAGACAACAAAATGACCACTCAAGGGTGCTTCTAAAATTCGGCCAAGCCTCCTATATATAGGCTTGAATTTTCGGCCAGCACCACTAAAAAGAAGACCAATTAGGACTCTCTAATCTTATCTCCCAAGGAGTAAAAGTAGAAGAGTACTTGATCTCTTTGACTCTATCTAAAATCTAGGAAACCTTATCTAAATGACTTATCCTCAAGTAGGATAATATCTAGAAGCAATCTAAGACTCCTAATCAAAACACTCTAGTTTAATTCAGTCCACATGACTTATTTAACTAGATAAAAATTCAAAAATTGACTCCTAGACTTAGACTAACTCTAATCTCGAAATTCAGCTCCAAATTATTGAAGTAAAATGTCTTGAACGCCCTTCCAAAAGTGGAATATTGGTCTTGCGCCCCTTAAGTTGTAGAAATTCCAATTTACTCCAAAACTTGTAGAATTCTCTTTATTGACTCCAAAAGATTGGAAAAACACTTGAAATAATTAAGATAGTTTGCAACCTATCCAATTGTGTAGCAATGGACTCAATCTTGAACACTTTGATCAAATAGGCCGTCCACTCAAGAACCTAAATGACTCTTCTCACTAGCTTGATCAATGATCTTCATGGAGCACACAGAGGCAAACTCTCTTGATACCCTTCAGCACTTATTTCCAGGAGGTCTTCATTTCCTTTGGTTTGAACCCCAAAGTTAATGACATTCTCATCACCTTGATCATAGCTCTTTTGAACCAACTCCCTATCACATAGGTAGTCAAGATCCATCCTTTCTTTGTTGATTGGCCTGCAAAGTAAACTTGGCATTCCAAAACTAGAATGAAGGACTAGATCATTCTCCTCACTAGGAGAACCTCCATGGAAGGCTACATGATTCTCATCATCCCCTCCTTCTTTAAGAGGATTCGTCCTCGAATCATCAACCTCTATACCTGCACAAGGAACAAATGAGATATAAGGTTTAGTAAAATCCTCACCCTCACCACACTCTGATTTTCTCTCATTGCGTGCATTTATTTCTGTTTCCACGCTATTTTCATGGTTTTCTCTCGCCTCAAGTCTTACCTCATCGTGACCCTTTTTACTTTCTTGCGTCACTCGCTCGACTTTTTCTCTCCCTTGTGTATAGGTTATCTTACGTCTTTTCTCTCGCACAGATTCAGATTCTTCATAAGCCAAAGGCTGAAGAATATATTTTCTGTCCTCTTTAGTAAAGACAAAGATATTCTTCGAGTAATGGTGCACAACATCTACATCTGACTGCCAAGGCCTACCTAGCAAAATATCACAAAGAGACATAGGAATTACATCAAAGTAAATTTCATCCCTATACTCACCAATCTGAAAAGGTACCATGGCCTTTTTAGTAACATCCACAACCATCTCTTCACTCAACCATTGAAGCTTGTATGGTCTAGTATGCGGATCTATCTTAATTCCGTTTGCTACAAAATTCCTCACTTACACAATCAGTACTCGACCCACCGTCGATTACCAAATCAACTTCATTGGACCACCCAACCAAACACTTAGTACGGAAGATACAAGTCCGTTGATCTCCATCTTCAGCGCCAAACACCAACCCCTGATCCTCAATTGGACTATTCCAACCACAAGAAGTATCATGCTCTCTTTCCACTTCTAAGGCAGCATAGTATGCCTCATAGAGCCTTGATTGTCTCCTTATCTTTGGGTGTTGTTTGAAACACTTGTCCAAGCCATAGTGGAAACGGTCTGTCAACATGTAGTCGTTCTCATCCACTTCTGAACTCAGAAACAACCCTTCTAATTCCTCAAAGTAAGATTGAATGGATCTACCATTCTGCTTACAATTGAGCAACTTCACTTTTGCTTCATCAAAGGTGTTAGTACCAGCATATCTTTCTCGCAAAGCACTTCTCAAATCATGCCACTCATCCAAATTACGATACCAATAATGCGAATAGATATTTGAAACTAGCTTCCACCAATTCAAAGCATTAGAACGAAAACAACCTATAGCTAAGGCTATTTTCTCACTCTCTTTCTCTATTTTAAGCAACACAAACCAATTCTCTATGCTTTTTTCCCAAGTATCATATTCTCTATGACAACCATAAAATAAAGGTAATGACACTTGCAACATTCCAGCATACGAGGGTACTTGTTTAACTTCAAAACGATCACATAAGACTCTTAAATTTTCAGCAATTTTCTCAAAACTTACCATAGCTTTATCTTGCTGATTTGAAAGCCATTGAGACAAGTCTCGGTTTGCCTCCTTTACCTCGGCCAAAGCATCATGTAGGAAGTCAATTTGACTCTTCATGAGCTGTACTTGAGCCTCCATGCGACCCTCTACACTCTTTGAAGCGATTTGAGTACAACCAGCAACTCCGGATGACATCTTTGCTCAACAACTCTGAGAAACCACCAACAAAAGAAGTAATGTGCCTTGTTTACTACACAAAAACTCCTTGAACCCTAGAACCAAAGTTTGGTTCGGCTGAAACCCCCCCAAGAACCAAAGGAAGGTTCGAATAAAGCTCTCCCCAAAAACAAAAACTCTCTTGTGCTTTTAAGAACACAACTCTCAAAATTTCAGAATTAAAGAGAGGAGTGCTTCTCTTGTTCTTTTCTCTCTTGATCTCGGCAGCAAGAAAGAAGAAGAAGTTTGGAGTAGAGTGATGTGAGAATTTTCGAAAAACAGCACCCCTAGTTATAGGCAATGCAAGTCTTTTTGTGCAAGAAAACTCCTACTAGATAAGACCTAAATTTTCTCAAAAATATTCCCCCCTTTTTAATGATAAAGGCTGCTCGACAGTATGGAATAAAGAAGAAGAAAAACCGGCCTCATATATGTAGACAAGGATAGAGTCCTAAAACTTAGGTAAACATAATCCTTTTTGGACACAAATTAAGAAAACTCATCCCTACTTATTAGAGATAAAATTTTCGA